GTAATATCATATTATGAAATAAAACCTGTAATGTATAAGAAATACAAAAATGTAATTAACAATAAGCATTTCATTATTTTAACAAAAATATTATTATGAAACTAACTGAACATAAAAGCTAGCAAAAAATCTAAAACAATTAAAATACACGAGAAAGAAAGGTATTTCATTATTATAATAAGGGAAAATTTCATATTGATACTCTATGTTTTAGCGTAATTGTCTTTTAATATTTTGTATTTTTAATAGTTTTAAATTGGTACCTTGGCGTTTCAGAAAATCATTTTTAAGTACCTTAAGGTCATTTTTTGAAATGTAAAATATCAAAGTTACCTTTCTCATTGCTTAATTAAAAAACTAATAATAAATTTAGAAAAATTCTAAAAGTTTTTTTCAACATTTAAAAATTAAAAATAAAAATAATGCTTTAAATTAAAAATAATTTTTTAAATTTTTTTTCTAAATTTATTAGTTTTTGGTAAAGTAATGAGTATGATAAATTTGACATTTTACATTATAAAAAAATATTTCAAAGTACTAAAAATAATTTTTTAGAACGTCAATATACTAATTTAAAATTATTAAAAATACATAATACTAAAAAATAATTGCGCTATAACGCAAAGTACTAATATGAAATTTTCCCTTATAATAACAATATCATTACAAACAAGAATTAAAATGACGATTCACAACAAACCTACAATCAACTCCATAGAGCTTTTTAAAAATGAAATATCAAAAAGGCCGGGCATTAAAAATAAGAACCAAAACAACAAAAATTGTTTAAGAAAATCATCAACAAAATTGAATATGCATAAAAAAAAAAAAATCAGAACCAATCTCTTGTGCCGATCTGTTGGCATTGAAGGAAAAAATAAAAATAAAAAGCCAAATGGAAGCACCAGAATGTTGAACAACCCATCCGTTTTGACCCCAGGTATCCAATAATATATATATATATATATATATATTTATTTATATAACACGCAAATCACCCCACCTCACAAGGTTTGTGTTCAACGCAAACCAGAATGTTCAATGCAAAATTTGTGTAATACACAAATGCCAGCCGACAAAAGCAGTAATTTAAAAAAAACAAAAACAAAAACAAAAAAACAAAAAAACAGGGGAGGGAAACTCCTAATTTAAAAAATCATATCAAGAATAAATCAATTAAATTGTTAACAAAATATTAAATGAGACAAAAAGAAAGTCAAATTCTTAAAATAATGAGAAAAATATCCTATGAAAAACATAACATACAGGAAACATGCTCAAAATAAACCATAACGGCAAATCAGGTATAATATATTCTTTATTAAGCATAAGTAAATTTTTATGTAGTATTATAAAATAATAGTTATTTTTAAATCGGGACCCACGTTTTATGCCATTACTTCTTAAATTTACAACATATACGAAAGATACAAGCGACTGTCGAATGGGGTTGTAACGGGCCACAGAGTGTGCTTTTGGGTATCTCCAATGGGCTGGGACATCCAAGAATCAGCAGTCTTATGGTTTTACGGCCCACATAAAATGGAGTACTCATCAGAATTGGACAAATTATATGATAGCTCGTTGGAAATCTTCGGAAGCCTACTTTATTAATATCAATTCAGTTCTCAAGATTCACTTACATAAAATCCCATATATTTTTTTTGTTTTTGTTTTTTGTTTTTAAACGACACAGGAACTAATTCTAGAGTTTAACATAACATTGAGTTTTGTCTAACCTACAGTACGAAACTCCGTTTCCAATGATTTGAAAACTAAATCGAAATTTACTATGTCTATTTTTGTTGTAGTAATAAATTATTTAAGCAATATTCTGATGTCTAATTTCCGGAGTTATTTTTAACCAAACGATGTGCGTTTAATTGGTGTATTCGTACTATGATTTGAGTCATGGTTCGTGGTTCGCTATAATATTTTCTCTCACAAAAAACACATGTAAATCGAGAATGGTTCTGAATCATGATTCTGAATCTGCGAATCAGACGTATTCACATGGTTTAGACATGAGGAGAAATGCTAGTATTAACTAAGGCCTAATTGACTTAAGGACAAATTACGTTTTATATTCTCAATTTTTTAAACTCAAAGTTTCATTATTTTGCTAATGAAAAATTCATATTTGTAACCCATAGAAATGGAGAATCATTCGGTTACCCATCTAACCAAATGACCGAGGCCTTGTACATTTTTCCAATGCTTAAATAATGCCTTTAAAAGGATATCTTTTAACTCTCAGTGAAGGAGTTATGATTTCACATTTATAAATTAAGCTTTTATCATTTATAAGTTATGCCTTTCAACATATTGATATGAGAACTTATGATTATCAAAATTCTTATTTTTGATATATCAAAAGACACAAGTTATTCAGGATTAAAATCATTACATAAATGATTATCAAAGTAAATTAATTTTAGTTAAACAAATTTATTAATAAAATCTATATCTCTACTTTGAAATTCCTACTCAGATCCAAAAAAAAAAAAAAAACTATGCATCTTTCCAATTTGAAGTAGACACCTATTATAATCTTATTAAAAATTAATTTACCCATCTTTATTCTGCGATTGCAACCTATACATTTAGACTATTATCTCACAAATCATATATTTCCGTACGATTCAAGATTCGGTATCATTAGTCTTTGTGCTTTGGTTTGCTTGTCACATAATCAATAGTATGAAAGTAAATATAGAATACATTAATACATGAAACAAATGCAATAAAGACATCTAAAATGTCTAAAATACATTTAATTAATGTATTTATTTATTAGGGCTCAAATCCTAACAAAGTCGACTAATAGTCGATAATCACCAGGCAATACAATTTACTTTTAGAATTAGTTCAAAGTACTGAGAGTGCTCGACGGTCACCTCTCTGAATACTCGATAGTAAACTTAATTTACATACTCAATACTTGACGATATCTTACCCGAGTACTTGCTAACCATCAAAGTACTTGCCACGGGATGGTTGCCCTTCTGATTACATGCCAGCCGACAATCACTCATCTGAGCACTTGCTACTTGACGGTCACCCATTTGACTACTTGCCCAAGTACGTGATAGTCACCCATCCGATTACTTACTACTTAACATGCGCCCATCCGAGCACTCGCCACATGATGGTCATCCGTTCGAGTACTCTTTGGAATTTGTAGAAGAAAATCTTTTATTTCAAACATTGAAAATTGTGATGTGTAATTTCATGGTGACGTCGAGTTTAGTAGACATCAAATTATTGCTTTACTACTATTTTCAGTTTAAATTGGCTGGAGTCGAAATTTTCAACCCGAGAAGAATTTGGTGACAATTCAGTTTCAGTAATACCTTTATCTGTTAGGGTATTTTATTTTTAATATTTAATTTTAAATTGAGATCATGTTTATCTTGTAGAGTTATTTTTAAAATTAATTAAGGTTACCTTTTGTATATCTATAAACACGTACATTGATGATTGTAGTTCTATTAAGACATTTAATGATTGACTAATGATATTGACTTTTTAGTTTCCTCTTGAGTTCTTATTGATCTCCTTTTATTTCATCTATTCTCATTTCTATTTCCCCTCTTTGTTACGTTCTTCTCTCTTCATTATCTATCTTGTCTATTCTATCTCAATTCTACATCAAAGGGCTCGTGATAATTTTAATCCAAAAAAAAAAAAAAACACATATTTGAAGTTAGTGGATTGAGGAATATTGATTTAGATAATGGACTATTAATGTTATTGGGTAAAACGCCAAACCCTAAATAAGGTCTTAGATGGGGCCTACACGTCTTAAATGAGAACACTAAGGTTCCGTTTATTTCACCGATTCGAGTTTAGAATTCGAGTTTTGTTATAATAAAAAGCTCTCTGAAACAATCATATCTAACTTTTTTTACTACAGTAAAAAGCTCTCACATAAAGTCACATCTCAACTTGAATTGAAAACTCGAATCAGCGAACTAAACGGGCCCTAAATGATCAATGATAGCACAATCCTAGGCGCCACGTCAGCTTTAGGATAGCTTAACCAAACGTAAGCATGAGGTCGACCGTATCCGCAATCAAATGCGAAGAGGCTTATATGAATGTTTATGAAGTTGAGGCTGAGCAAAATATGAGATCCGCGAGATTTGTCCTAAGATTTGTTATTTGTAATTTAAATATATGAAGTTTAAATGAAAAAAACCGTTCTGATTGATTGTAATCTCTATCTTTTGAGAAAATATCCCAAAAGATAAGATAAATATCCCAAATTCAAATAAGGGATTGATAAGTCAGAAAATCTCCAAGTCTCATTCTGAGCATTAGTGTATGTATTCTCTTCTAAAATAGTGAATTTTCTCTCCTCTCCACAATATAATTCTCATGTATTCTTGCTATTTAATTGTTTTCAATTGCGTTTTAATTCATCTAATTCACATTAACCGTAAAAAAATTTATTATTATTCTGTTAGCGAATTTTCACTGTCAACAATTAATGATATTACCATTTGCTTAGCCATTGAATTATACCTCTTGTAGTTTCCTTTTTTATCCTTGTATTTACGTGATAATATCGTGGCGTTTTCTTTTTCTTCCTCTTTAGGCTCCGAATATTATCGTCAATATAATATATATTTACCCAGGAATAATTTTATTGGCTTTTCACACAAAAGGCTTTCAGTTCCCCGCTCAAAAAGCGACGTTTGCCAAACCCCACCTGGGTTCTGCCGACCTTTGTGCCTTTACAAAGAAACGTACCAAAAAAAAAAAAACAAAAAAACAAAAAAGAGCATTTGCGTGACCCCCAAACACTCCACTTCTTCCTAAATCCAACGGTCCAAAACCCACTTGACCTACCATCACTCTATCACAACCGTGGATGACACCTAGTTTTAGTGTATATATTTATATAATAAAGGTCATTAATCATATAATATTAATTTTCCTGTTTAATTATTACTCATCTTGTCCCTTTAACTTATAATCCTTTGTTTGCTGATGAATCTTATGTTAACACTTTCATCTTCTTTAAACTCTCTCTCATTCTCTCTCTCTCTCTCTCTCAATTACAAAGTTTGGATTGATCAACCTTGATAATGGTAGTGCACATTACGGGAATATTGATTTTTATTTCTCGGCTATTTTATTTAAGGGTTTCATTATAATTATTATTATTTTTGGTATGTAGGAGAGAATACTTGCCCCGCCATGGCTGGAGGCATTATTATCGACGGCGTTCTTCTCCGTCTGCGGTGCACACCGCGACGCCCCGCGCAGCGAATGCAACATGTATTGCCTCGACTGCCACGGCGGCGCCTTCTGCTTCTACTGCCGATCTTCCCGTCACAAGGATCACCTCGTTATTCAAGTGCGTTTACACATAGTTTTTATCGTCTCATTTTTGCTTTTTTCTTCATCTCACATTTGGTGTTCTTTTGGACTTACGTAATCGATAGATACAATGCATCTCTCTCTCTCTCTCTCCCCCCCCCCCTTTTTTTTTTTTACATCGAAATTAAATTAGGAAGCAAAATTGACAATCATTTACCCATATGGGTACGTACACCTTACGTATATGTAACTATGTTGAACATCAAAGTTAAATTAATAAGCAAAATTGACCGAAACATTTATCTTCTTATCTAGGTACATATATGCATTATGTGTATGGTTTGTTTGTTTGTTTTTTTTTTTGTTCTTTCAGGAAGAGGACTTTTATTTTTTTTATTTGTTTTTTATTTTTTAAAGGTAGAAGAGGACTTATCTTCATAATACAATACTGAAATGTGTATGAGCGTTAAAATTAAATTAGACACATAAATGCTGAATATATCTTATTATAACAGTTTAGTATCATTTACCTTGTTTTGTTATATATATCTAAATTAATGGGTACGCAGTATTATATCTCCATATATATATTTTTTTAATTTTATACTGTTACTGCAAGTTAGGGTACTTAGGAGACTTATCTAGCGGGTTGGAAATTCAAAATCAAATCAGTGTGGAAAAGTAGCTGAATGTGATTAAAATTTGGCAGTTCGGAAACATTTTCTAATATATGTTATTAATCTAAATTGGCATAATATATATGCTTAATCTTTAGCTAAACAATTTTGATCATATGGAATTTTGGGATTGTATATAATTTGAAATAATTAATATTGTCGCAGATCAGAAGGTCGTCGTACCATGATGTGGTAAGGGTAGCGGAAATTCAGAAGGCATTGGACATAAGTGAAGTTCAGACATATGTAATAAACAGTGCAAGAGTTTTATTTCTGAATGAGAGGCCTCAGCCTAGAACTGCCGTCAAAGGGGGTCCTCATGTTTGTGAGATTTGTGGAAGAAGTCTCTTGGACCCTTTTCGTTATTGTTCTCTGGGATGCAAGGTATATGTATGTATATATGTATATATATATATATATATATATATATATTTGTATACATACGCTTTCTCTAGTTTTCTCTATATTACTCATTTAGTGAATTTCTCAATTTTATGTAATATATTCCAGACTTAGTATTATTAGTCTAATTTACCAAATAAATTGCGTATTAGTTTTTGTACCATGTTATAGTACTCTTATAGATAGATACAAATAAACGCACACAAATCTAAAATGAAGGGCAATATCATAATTTTACAAACATGACATAACGGTAATTAAAATTTCATCAGAAGAAAAAAACAGGGCTAAAACGGGAAAGACACTGTTTATTACACTGTAGCATGAACAGTAAATCCCGTCCTCTCTTTTTAGTATATGTATAATATGGTAAGTTAGAACATTACTAGATCACAACCAATTGGAGTACTTATTACTATTGATTTAATCAGAATCGTGTTTACAATTCTAGGTGATACTGTTGCCACTTAATAATCGTATATAGCAACTGTAAAATGGTATATATATGTGTCCTTTCAACAAACAAACAAAAAGTTGGTACATATGTTTTCCAACTTCCAATATTATGGTCCCTATAATATGGTTTTTCTTAAGTATTAAAATTGGTTGATTAATATATATATATATATATATATATATATCATTCACTTAATAAGTTTCCGAATTATCACTAATTTTATCATTTGTTTATTTTTTCGGGAAAGGAGCTAAACAAACTTTAAAAAAGGGTAAATATACATTGCCGTCTTAGTTTTAGCCATATTCACCAACAAATTAGAACGTACATCACATTCACAATTATCATGTGTTTTCTAATTAGTAGATGGCCAATTAGAGTACTTATTTATTACTATTAGTTGGCTCATAGATTGTGAAGACAATTCAAGAAGATGCATTTTCCTTTTTTGCAATAAACTCCTAGTTGTTAAATCATGTCTACTTCTAATAATATAATATACGGTTTTCCTTGACTATTACAATTTTTTAATTAATATAGATATTCTTGTTTCCAACATTATAGCTTGTAGGAATAAAGAAAAACGGGGATGCCAACTTTATCTTGAGCGCAAAGAATGAGAAAGGAGTAGTGGGAAGTAGGGAAGGAATTATGGCAAGAAGAATATTGTCATCAAAACAACAAGAATTAGAAGAAGACGAAGAAGATGAGGAATTGCGTGAAGGAATAATAAAACAAGCTGATCATGGCAAGGAAATGTACCAAAGCACGTTTCGTCCACCTCATTCCACTTCATCAAGGAGAAGAAAGGGAATTCCTCATAGGGCACCTTTAGGGCCCTAATCTAATTATGTTTATTTGTACAGCTCATTATTTGTTTATTATTCCTCCACACAATGCCATAATTGCCATGTGACATGTGGGTACAATTTGTGTCCTAAACATGGGTTAGCTATCCTTATTTAATAGGGTACCTATATAAAAAATAATTTATTTCGGATCCGTTTAGTTCGCTGATTCAAATTTATATGAGAGCTTTTCACTGTAGCAAAAACATTAGATGTGATTGTTTCTAAGAGCTTTTTATTGTAACAAAATTTAAATTTTAAACTCAAATCGGTAAAATGAAGTTAAATTAAGTAGCATGGGATTCGGCCGGCTTCTTTGTGCAATAATGCTGCATTAATATTACAGATTAATTTGCAATTGTAAATGCCATTAATCACATAATCAACAATTTCACGGATCGTATATATATATATATATATAAAGGAAACGATACGGCTAAGACCTTTTCTCATTTATAATTTTCTTTGGTTTGAATTTTGCACTTGCATATGATATCGCTCAATATGTGGCGTAATGGAGAAAGTTAAGCTTTTCAATTTAAAAAAAAAAAGTTAGTAAAAAGCCATATCACGAATGTGACGATTTGACATCTAAGTGAACGCCATGAATACTCTTTAAAGCAAAATAAAGGCCCAATTTATTTCACATATTAAAATTTTATTATAATTAAAATCTCTTATAAAAAGTTATATTTAATTTTTTCTATTACAATAAAAAATTTATCACATAAAATCACACTTTAACTCAAATTGAAAACTCGAATTTACGAACTGAACAAGAGAAAAAAGTTAGGCATTATAAGTAGAGTATCGAAAGTCATCAAAGGTTGGTTAGAATTGATAGAGTTGACCTTCAACAATAATGAGCATATTATTTTCTCTTTGCCAATTGCGTGTTTTGTTTCATAAGTTTTGATTGAACTATAATTTAAATCTTTTTATTATAATATATTCTCTGATAAAAATTTGAAGACTTCGTGTTCATATTAAAAAGGGCAAAGGTGAACAAATTGGATTCGCGTACTGAAGTATAGATACTTGTTTTTGTAAGATACCTTAGAGGCTCAAATGCAGGCTTCTTCTATACGTAGTATTCAAGATAACAAAGTATTATTCATTTCAACGAACTACAATTCTAGATAAAGTTGTGTTTGAAGAATTAGCATAGGATGAGATCGGCCCGCAAGTTAATGACACGACAATTATAGGAGGTTTATAAGCAATGACGGAGGGACTAGGGGTGCTGTGGGTGGCCATGGCCCCGACCTTGACAAAACGCTATTTTTTTTTTCTTTTTTAATATACTAGGCCTCGTTCATTTCGCTGATTCGAGTTTAGAATTCGAGTTGAGATGTGATTTTATGTGAGAGCTTTTTACTGTAGTAAAAAAGTTAGATGTGATTGTTTGTGAGAGTTTTTTACTGTAAAAAAACTCAAATTTTAAACTCGAATTAACGAAGTGAATGGGGTCTAGAGTTGTTTAGGTATTGTTTAATTAAATCATTTTTTATTTTTTTTTTAAAAACATGATAATCATATTAATTATTTTTGTTTTTTGTTTTTTTTAAATTGTTGTCAAATCTTAAAAATTCAAAAAACAAAAAATTCATGTTTTTAAAATATCTATATCTCATACTCAAAAAAAGAAAAAATATTATTTCATCCTTCTCTTCTTCACCTTTCTCGTTTCTTCACTCTCTCTCCCTCTCTGTTTGGCTCGTGAGAAAATGCACAAACTCTCTAACCAGACTTCTCTTAAGAAAATTTCTCAAATATTCTGTTCTTTCTCGGATGATTAGAGGTAAAAAGCACAAACTCTAATCGAATTTCATATTATGAATTCTCTTTGAAATTATTTTTTCATATAGGGTTTATTTTTCAGTTCATTTAAGAAAGCTTTTGTGATCCTTTTTCATTTAGGATACATAACATGGCAATCTGTTTAAATGTTATCGTTTTAGCACCTTTTTATTCTTATTGTTGATTAAGGGATTGTACTGGCTTTAGTTAGAGCGAATTGGTATGCTTTCATAAAGGCTCTAGAGTTTCTATTAGTTTCTATTGTCTGGGTGGTGAATCTTTTGTTGCTTTGCCTTAAAATTGATGTTTTGAGGTATGTGAATTTAACATGTCTACTGCTCTTTTATTGAGAAAAAAATGTTACGTGGAAGTGTATAAAATATTCTTTTCATTTTTACAGGTAATATTGATGTTTTCATATGTTGTCATGAGTTTAATAAACAGAAATCGTTACATAAATAGATGTTAGTATAATCATGATAAAAAAAAAAAAAAAAAATTTAATTTGGTCCCTCCTACTAAAACGTCCTAGTTTCGTCACTGTTTATAAGACAACCAGATCGTTACATGAAAATCTGAGAAGTTTATGAAGCAATTGTTTATGAACAAGTTGATGATCCTATCTCTTTAACTCAAGTTATTATCTAAATCATGGCAAGATGCGATGAAACAGAAAACAAAAATATGTATATTCTAACAAAGTTGGGAACTTGTGGATGCTCCTTAAGGGACTAAACCATTTAGGTGCAAACAGATCTTTAAAAAAAAAAAAAGCGTGGATGGAAAAGTTGAAACGTTCAAAGCAACGCTACTAGTCGATGGTTACACCCAAAAATAAAGTACTGATTATGAATAAACCTTCTATGCGATGGTCCCTGTACTTAAATCCATCCGGATTTTTTATCCATTTGCTGCATTTTTCAATTACGAAATCTGGCAACTCGATGTTAAGACAACATTCTTGAATGACCATCTATAAGAGGTTCATTGAGAAAGGGCTACTGGGCTAGAGCAAAACGTTCACAAATTGTAAGGTTCATCTATGGACTTACACAAGCCTCCAGATCATAGAATATTAGATTTAACTGAGTGATAAAATCTTATGGATTTGATAAAAGTGCAAAAGTGACATGTATCTACAAGAAAATAACGAACAAACATGGTATTTCTTGTCATTTATGTCGATGATATTCTAATCGCTGAAAATGATTTATAAAATTAACATCAACAGTGATTGGCTAAACAATTCTCGATGAAAGACTTGCGAGCAGCTATAGCTATATCCTTGGCATCAAACTCATCAGAGATACTAACACTATAACAAAAAGGGTTATTAGCGATGACATTTATTGTTGCTAAAATTACAATATTAGCGACGACATGTCATCGCCAAAAAGAAAATAAAATTTTTGAACGACTTGTCGTTGCATTCTCTATTTGTGACGACATGTCGTTGTACAAAATTTCACTATTTACAACGACATATTGTCGCTAAAATTTGATAAATTATTCACGACGACATGTCGTCGCTAATAGCCATTGGCGCCAACAATTTTGGCACCAATTTGTCCATTATTTGTGACGACATGTCGTCACAAATATTGATACTTACAGTTGACGGTGTCGTGGCCAAAAAGAGGCAAAAAATTTAGCGGTTTCCCTTGAATAGGTTCTAGATATTTCTTTATTTTTTGTGACAACATATTGAAAAGTTGTTGCAAAAAATGGTTCCAGAAAATTCTTTTCAGAACGACTATTTTTACAATGACATGTGTCGTAACAAAAAAGAGTTCCAGAAAACTCTATCAAGAACGACTATTTTTTGCTACGACTTGTTTAAATTTCCCCAAAAAAAAAGGGCGGAAAGTTTGGCGGTTTTCTTAAAATTATTTGCGACGACATTTTAACAAAGTTGTCGTAAAAACTAAGCACGGGTATATTCCTCAAGAATATTCTTAGAAATATTAATGAGGTGAAGAAGAACGACGTCGTTTTTATATTAATTACGACGACTATTTTATATTTTTTGCGACGACATAATGTTGTCACAAAAATCTACCTGTATAAACACAATCGCAGAACTCTTTTCTCCATTTTTTCCGGTGACCCTCTCGGTTTTCTCTCTCCTTATCCATCCAAAAACTCTAAAAAAAGCATAAATATATCATTCTATCTTCAAATTCTTCATTTGTGGAGAAAAATATTCCGAAAAAGTCCAAAAAATGGAGTTTTCACCTTGCCGTTGCCGCCCGTTTTTCTGGCCATCGTCATCATTTTCCGGCCGCCATCGCCCTCCCAGCCCTGCTGCCATACCGTTTTCCAACCCCCGGTGTTTGTGGGTTTGGATTTTGTGAGTTAATATTTTAGTATTTTATAAATTGATTTTGGTATTTTGGTTGTGGTTTGTGGTTTTGTTTTGGATTTTAAATTTAGTTTGTGGTTATGGATTTAGAATTGTGAAATATAAATTAGAATTGAAATTGAAATTTATGGTAATTAGATTGAAATTTGTATGAAATTTATTTGATGATGGTTATGTGACGATGATTAAAAAATAGGCGACCTATGGAAATATTAAGAAGTTAAAAAAATGAATTATATATATGATGATTAAAAAATTTAAATGAAAATTTTAATTAGTATTATATTACTAATTAAAAAAAATAAAAATAAAAATTTTAAAATAGTTAATAGTCATTTGTGTTAATTTTCATAAAATTTGATAAAAACTTCATAACAAGCAATCATGTCTGGCCCAGTCGCTACATGTGCTGGCTCTTCAGGGGGAGCGCAGCCTCCACCCGATCCTTATAGGTTGCCATCACACTGTGAGTCTGGTTTGTTAGAACATAATTATAAATTTTTAAATTAATTACATCAGTATTATATGATCACTAAATATATTTCATTCTACAGTACCTGATGCTGTACCTCAACGACGTCGTGGAGGTCGAGAGAAAGCTAAGGGTCACGAAATTAATTATTAAAATGAGAAAAAAAAATTAAAAATTAAAATATTATTTGCGACGACAAATGTGGTCGCAAAAAATATAAGCCACGTCAACCAATTCTTCATCTTTTGCGATGACTTAATTCGTAAAATGTCATCGTAAATACTCAATCCCATGTCATCTTAACGATGTAACCGACGAAATAATTGCAGCGACTCATTTGTGACGATTGTCGTCGTAAATATAATAACGACGACTGTTTATCGTCGAAAAAATTATTTTTACGACGAATCAATTGTGGTGACAAGTTTGCAATGATAAGTGGTCGCTAAAAATTCATTTGCGACAACTTTATATTTTTTGCAATGACTTTTTGTATTCACTAATAGCCATGTTTCTTGTAGTGTAATTAGAGACGGGAGAACAAGCTAATAGTATTGTCCCAAGCCTCGTAGACAGATAATATACTCGACAAGTATTTCATGCCGAATTTAAAAAAGGGTTTAAAACTCATGATATATTGAATTACACTTTCTAAGTGTTGGTTCCTATGTGTATTTTGATGACGACAATGAAACACCCTTCATTTATTTGCTAATATGTGTCTTTGAGTTTTGAATTTTGCAAAGAGAGGTTTTATTCTCAAGAAATTCTTTCAAGACATTGAAGAACAAAGCAAGAAGAGTAATGGAAAATACAGAAAGAGTTACCTATGTTGCAAAAAAAGATTAGTGTAGCCACCTATGTGGCAAATTCCCTTAAAATATTAACAAATAAGAAAATGGTTGATTTGGAAAAGACTGAAAAATATAGGGCACAGTGTGCCAAAGAAAATTATTGAGAATAAAATGCCAAAACGTACCATTAAATACAAATGAGGGCACAGTTCGATGATCCGAATTGAGGCTTGCCTTTATGTGAGAGTTTTTAACTGTAGTAAAAAAAATTAAATGTGACTTTTTCTGAGAGTTTTTAATTGTAGTAGAGAAAATTAGATGTGACTTTTTCTGAGAGTTTTTAAGAAATTTTGAATGAGGGCACAATTCGATGATACGAGTTTTCAATTTGAGTTTATATGTGGCTTTCTATAAGAGCTTTTAAAAGTTAGGTGTGACTTTTTCTGAGAGCTTTTAACTGTAACAAAACTAAAATTAAAAATTCGAATCGGTTAAATAAACGAAACCGCAATTTACCCCTTGTTTTTAGTTTTACTCTCTTTGGCGTTTTGTGAATTGGTTCATTCTTTTATGTGCGCACTCTTACTAACAAGTAATCCTATGCTTCACCCCTATCATAAAAGTTGGACGGAGGTTTGGAGTTTTGGTCACAGAAGTACATATAATTCCAAAAATGAGGCACGTGGCAAGAAGTGATTGGTTATGGTACTGAGAAGGGGAAAATGATAGTGGTTGATGAGTGGAATATTATGTTTGGATGGATACACGTAAGTCAAGTAGGAAATTACTTCCGAATGTCCAAAGAAATGGTATCCAATGCGGCTAAGGAAGGCCGTTTGTGTATTAATACAGACAACTACAAGTAGGAGGAGAGATTGATAAAGATTTTGATTTGACAGCTATATATTATGCACACTGTATGCATGGGATTCTTTACAAATATTTTAACTATATCTTTTTTGTTATGGTATTTTTTTTTTGCATAGAATTTAAGATTTTGTTTACATTTTTTCTTTAAATTCCTATTAATTAAATGGGTGTAATTGGAAATTAACACATGATCTCGCTCATTTCACCGATTCGAGTTTTTAATTTCAGTTTTGTTACAGTTAAAAGCTCTTACAGAAAGTTACATCTAATTCCTTCTGTTACAGTTAAAAGCTCTCACGTAAGATTACAATTCAACTCAAATTAATAACTCAAATCGGCAAACTAAACAAGATTTATAGTAACAGAATTTTACGGGTGGTCAGAATTAAATTGGAAAAGACTAATTCCGCTATATGTTAACCATTAAATGCAAATGAGGGCATGCCTTAATTTGTCCCTACTCAAAGAAACGCTGAATGTGGCTGTCGTTGTTAACAGTGCCTGTGCTTTCATAATCTTCTCTATTTTCCTTCAACACTAAAATAATGAAAAAGATAGATCAGCTTGGAACATGTTATAATATATATATACACATATATACATTATCTATACGTATAAGGTACACATATATATATAATACATATTAAAATCAGGAAGCGTACAAGAGACGGTGCTATTAAGTGGATTAGACTCAAGCGGAAGATATATCGGAGAAAAAGAGAATACTACAAACTTGTCAAATTCTTGTCTAAATTTTCTCTCGTTAAAAAAAAAAGAAAGAAAAGCAACTACTGGAATTAGGGTTCACAAAATTCACCCTCTTCGTGAACTCCATGTCAAACACTACACCTGATCATGATCATAAATGTCTACCAAAAACTGATCGTGATCATCACCAAGATCATCATGATGATCATGTACCACTTGATCATGAATTAGAAGCTTCGAAGCCGAAACTTGAGCAGCTATCAGTATTATCAACAGATCGTGAAGAGCAGAAATTAGAGTACTACGACGACTGCAAAACGCCAACTTCTGAGGATCAGAAGATTCCCACAACTCAAAGCTGTCCACCAACGCCAAGAAAGCCGGCTTCTGATCGAGTATTTCTTCGGAAGAGGAAGTTTTCGGAGTTCCACTTCTTCGAATCCACCGGCCGCGAAGAGGTAGAGTCCTTCTTCCGATCAACCTTCAAATTTTCAGGGCTTAAGAAGAGATGTAAGAGTGTTTGAACTTCCTCTATCTAGCTAGCTAGCTGTATACATATCCCTTGGTATATCTAGATGTGTGTGTGTATGTGTCTATATATATACACATTAAATACATGTATATAGACACACATACATATATATAAATATAGACTCATGATCATATTATAATTGAATAGTCTCGATCATCCTCTTAAATTTTTCCCTTAAGTAGTTCATATATTGCTCCTTCATAATCTTCTCTTGTATACTTATGAGAAAATTTTGTAGATGTGTATATATTATCTTGAATGGCTCAGCCTGAACTTCAATGAGATAATATATACATACATAAATGTATTTCTATAAATAGACCAATCAATGATATTGTGTCTGCAATAATTGGTATACTCTCAGTGTGACCACTCAATAATTAATGGTGTAGTATTTGTACGTATATGCCATAAACTTCTTCCATTATTGTGTTATTTGCGAATTCACCAACATTCTCTGCACAATTCACTTCGTGCAGCTAATACTGATCTGATTATTTGTACTGAATAAGTTCATTCAAAAAGGAAAAATTGTGATATAGTCTGTCAATTATTGTTTCATACGTTGAATACATACCACATTTGATCTTTTTTGCTTTCAAAATGTTCACCGCATTTGAAATGATTAAATGCATATAACATTGCATTATTCACTTAATGTTAAAGGGTACCAGGTACATGAGTTTGTATGCTAACCGAAGCAGTTAACTTTGAAATGTATGCTAACCGAAACTTAGAGTTTGTGGGGTCTTTCTTTCTTTATTTTTCTTTTTTTTTTTAGCTTTTTGATCGTGTGTTTCTAAATGTTAAATCTAGTTAAAATCATATCAAAACGAAAATAACATTCAAATTACATAAACAATACAGATGTGACAATTTAAAATTAAACCTTACCAATTAGGTATGTTTGTTTTCTTTTTATACCCGATTATCGGGTATGTTTTTATAAGTTTTGCAGCAACAATAACAACAACAACAACAAGAAAAAAAAAAAAAAAAAAACTTCATGTCATTTTGTGGACTTGTAATGTAGCTATAGCAATGAGAAACTTCCTGTCATCCTGTGGACTTGTAATGTAGGTAAGAAGTAGATTTCTGTTGCTTGGTCGAAATGATCTTGCCTTCCTAAATCTGAGGGAGATTTGGGGATTTGGTCTCTTTTAGCTACAATGCGGGGTTTTCTAAAATTATAATGGCTTTAATTTACATTTTATAGAGAAAAGTAATTTGTAATTTTTATATCTTAAAACTAAAAAAAAATCATTAATTAATTTAATTATAATTGAATATTATTAATTTTAATAAATATATGTTCATTATTATATTAAGGAAAGTAAATAAAAGAAAAGAACATCCCCCATTAACTTCGCAACCTCCTCTCCTTCCTCGAAGACACTTTTACTAACTTTGGAAATTACTGCATGTGATGTACGTATGTGTACGACCCGACATATTTATATAATATATATGTATATATATTATTCCATAATGCAACAAAGAGTCCCTCAGTTTGTACTAATTGTACGTTAAATTTATTGCCTGAATCGGCTCTTTCTTGGTGAAATAATAGGCATATATATTACAGAGTACGGATGGTTTTATACATTTTTGTTCATACGCTGGTAAATTCCCCAAATTCAAAAGAATCCTAAAACTCGTACGACTTACCCATGTTTTGTTGGATCGAAGAAATAAAGGAAAACAAAAGTAGCTAATAACTGTTCTAGAATATTCCTGTCATGAGACTATATAAATAATAATAATAATAATAATTGACACAAACGGTACCTAATAATAATTACTCTAATAATAAATATAAGCGTAACAAAATCTACGAGCATTATTTTGACACGTTCTTTGATTTGTGCAGCTTTTATCAACGATTCCAGATTATTCGATAATGGTCATATATATATATATATGAGTAGTATATATTAGATGACTAATCTATTGACTCTCCAGTAGTTATTGATTCTTGGTCTTATGAGTAATAATAATATACAATACAGCTAATCGATTAAAGTTCAGTGGTCTCCTCCTATTCCAGATTAGATCAAAGTTAATTATATTTTGGGTTATTTTCTATTTTATACATTATATTCTGAGTTTATTAAAAAAATATATAGTAAACTCACCTTTTAAATGTATTATTTTAATATTTTTATCTTTTTCTCTTGATTAATACTCTTTTAACTTATGTAATTCTTTAATAAAAAAATATTAATCAATAATAAATGATAAAATTCTACGACCCATATATTTTAAAAGGATTATTTATCTTTTTTTCTTTAAAAAAAATGTATATTTTGGATGTTTCAAGAATATAACTTTGAATTTCAATGTCATATCAATTTTGTACATTTTATGGGCCAAAAGTTGATTTTGGCCTTTAAATTTATAAAATTAACAACTTGCAGGTTCTTCCAACCAAAAAAAAAAAAAAAATTACACGTGATGCCTTAAAAGAAGCAATTAAAAATCATTAAAAAAAAAAAAAGGTATTTCCAAGCTAAAGTTGCAAAGTGTAATTGGAGGAGAAAAAAGATGATATGAAAAAGGAAAACAGAAACCTGAAGCTAAATTGTTTTAACTCATCATTTCTTTTGTGTACTCTAGCAGAAAAGGAAACCGCTCAATAATTAATGCTACGGAAGTATAAAATTATTATTCATTTATTTTTTAATAATTTAAATTTTTAAGATAGATTAATAAATTAATATGATATTAAAATAAGAGATTTTGAGTTTAAATATCTATAATTACACTCTTTATTCTTATTTAAAATTATTATGTATTGAGTTTTTAATTTATCTCAAGCTTAAATATTTATGTGTTGAGTTTTTTAATTAATTTAATCACAATTATTTATTGTCCAGTCCACACGTTAAAAGGAGTGTTAAAGTATAAAATTATTATTAATTCATCTCTTAATAACTTAAAGCTTTTGAGATGAATTAATAAACTAACAGCTACTAATATCTATTAACAAATCAGAGTGATGAGAATAATTTGTGCAATTAAATCTATTAATAATTCTAGAGATATGACTCATAAAGTTGTAGTGAATTAAGATCTTATTTTCCTGCAATCCAGAGAAGACCCTTCATCGAATGGAGGATCAACTTATTAAATATCTCTTCGGTTCATGAACAATGCAAATCAGCAACAGAAGCTTTACACCATTATATCTGTAACAACTTTAGTCTACCTCATTCAAACTATTAAGTTATAACATGAAAAACAAAAAAAACAAAAAAAAAAAAAAACAACAACAACAAAGAGAAAACCTTGTACCAAGAAGAAGCAATAATGCTGAAACATCATCAGCCAAGCCCCAACAGACCTGGAGGGCAGACATTTCTGACTTTAGAACCCGCTTATTGCACGATTGACACTGCAAATGCATCTCCAAATGCTTCTGGACGGGGGCTCATATCGATGCTCTTTAGGACACGAGCCTCAAAGTCTACAAGTTCACAAAGTGTGGCGAAAATTTTCACTGCAAGATTGAGGGATCACTCGTAAAAAACAGCTTTTATTAATAAACTTGACCACAAAACCTTGCAACTTGACAATATCACAACAAGCTAATACATATTTGCATCATCAGCTCAATGTAAAACACACCACGGGAGAGAAAACCAGATATGGCCTTCAGGGTTTTTTTCTGCACCCGATTGCAGGTGGTAATTTTGGCATGACATAAACCACATAGACATTTAGAAAAACCAAATGACAAATTTCACAGTTTAATCATGGAGATCAGCCTATTTCCTCAGAAAGGAAATGACAGAGAAGCGTCAGAGTCCACTACAAATAGCATAAAATTTAATGTATTATTTCCCATAATCTCTGACAGGTAGTATGCAACAAGAATACTTTCTATGCGAACTGCCTTGAGCTTATTACAAAATATGTTTCTGTTACAAAATAGAAACTAAACTAAAATTGGACGCAAAATAGTCATTTAGAAGATACCTAAATGTAGAATTAATAAAGAAAAAGTATCCTCCATACCACAAAACAAAACTGACCACCATTTTCCAAGCTTATCATATATTTTCTTTACCTAAAAGATTCACTGCAACTTCTACAGCTATATTATCTAATCTGTGACAAAAAATACAAAAAAAAAAAAAGGAATCATCAATTTCCAAAACACAATTTATTTTTTAAGATATATCTATACATTTCTTTTGTGGTAAGCCGCAATCATTCTAAAAATAGTTTTTTTTTTTTTTTCTTCCAAAAGCGAAGGCCAATAACTCAATCAATTTTACCGGCCAAACACATATGTCCACTCATATACTATAATCAAAAGTAAAACTTTATATTTGGATTCCACAAAATAGAGCAATAAACAAGCAAAGAAAAACTTGTCATGCAAATCATGTACAAAAATAAAGAATAAATAAAAATAAAAACACTGAAAAAAGAGTACAATAGTTGGATCATGCCACAGTAAAATAATGGATAGAACTTACACGATCCTTTTTACCACTTGCTGCAAAGAAGGATCCAATTTACCATTAGAATCTAAATCCACAAACAGCTCTATGGTTGAAACATCCGAAGAGAAACCCTTTGCCACCATTTCATCAATAGACTGCAATGCTCATATCTCATTGTTAAGAACGAGTCCCCAAATCATTAAATTGTAAGTGCAATCATTTGGAGGGCATCCTTTTTCTTCCATTTCTCTTTGCAAATTTAGAGCTTCATCTACAAGGCCGCCGCAAAGAAGTCCATTGATCATTATGGTATAAGTCCACACATTATGTTGTAAGCCTTTACATGGTACTATGTGAATGAGATCCTTTGCAGCTGCGAGATTTCCAGCTTTACACATACCTTAGATCACAATATTGAGTGGTAATTTCTTCTCTTCCATATTATGAACTAATGTCATTGCTTCTTCAAGCTCTCCATTTTTGCATAAACCGTCGAGTAAACTAGCAAAGTTTGAATATCTGGGTGCTGCCCCACAGCTTGCATCTTGTGAAGCAAATCTTGAGCAGACCGAGTTCTCCCAACATTACACAAACCAGCAATAAGAGAGCTATAGGTAACAACATCTGGAACTAATCCCTTAGACGCCATTTCTTCAAACAATCTAAGAGCTTCATCCCTCATCCTTTTCTTACCATATCCATTTATCAAAATCCTATAACTTAATACGTCACCATCACAACCATGCCCAATCATCGTATCAAACACCATTCTTGCCTTGTCAATTTCTCCTTCCAAGCAATAGCCGTCAATGACAGAGTTATACGTTACAACATCTGGCTTAACGCCTCTTTGAATCATAATTTCCATCATATCCTTGGCCTTTGCAACCATCCCGTTTTTGCAAAGTGCATCAATCAAGACACTGTAAGTTTGCGCGTCGGGAGAGATATTATGATCTATCATTCCATCAAATAACCTCATAGCTTCTTTCAATTCTCCTAAAAAGCACACCCCATCAATCAAGGTGGTGAAAGTGACAACATTCGGGACAACACCTTTGCTCCTCATTTCTAAGAAAAGGTCCATAGCTTCACGAATTAGCCCTTCCTTGCAAAGGCCGTTGATAACCGTGTTATAGGAAACAACATTTGGCATACAGTTCTCTACCTTTTCCATCTTCTTGAGCAACTTAATAGCTGTAACACTGTTGCCCGTCTTACAATTACCCTTTAGCAATGTGTTATAAGTGATCACATCAGGTTACAACCACCCTCAATCAATTTGTCAAAACATTCAGACGCTTCAGAAACTTTTCCCTCAGCGAAAAGCCCCTTCATTAGAATATTCATCGTCGCGGTGTCTGGTTTATAACCAGATTTAATGAACTTTCTAAGGACACATAAACTGGAGGGCATTTGGTTCAAATGACAGAAGCAATTTATCACAATATTCAGAGTGTAATGATCAGGCTTGATTCTATTGATACCCATTTGCTTAAACATAGAAATGACAAGAGAATAATGTTTGGTTTTGACGAGTTTACCCAACAATTGAGTGAAAGTTACAACTGAAGGAAGAGGACGCGTTCTAAGCATTTTCTGAAAGGAATCCAAAGCATTTTCAACATTAATAATCACCATTTTGGTATTGTTGCTGCTTTTGCGTCTATGGCCATCATCTTTTGGAGAGGCTTCGAAATGATTTCGAGCTACCAAATTCTTCAGAAACCCCAAAGCAATAATGTTGGGTTTGGGAGCTTTTGTCTGCAATCTTAAGCATCTTCGCGACAAATTTCAATTTAAGAGGAAAATAGGAAATGGGTTTTGATGAGAAAGAAGTTTCTTCGAACTGGTGGTGATGTTAAGCACTCGGGTTTAGACCTGAGAAAAAGGGTATTTGGTCTTGGTCGAAGAAGAGGTACGGTGAGGAAGTATGGTGTTTTTACACGACTAACTCAGAGAATTAAAGATTTGTTCGGTTGCATTTTTAAATTAGGGTAATTTAAATATAAATTTTAAATTAAGTTTAAGTTATAATTTAAATTTGTATTTAATTGTGTATATTTAAGTTATGATTTGTATTAAGAATTTATTTAAATTTGTGTTTGGGTGGATAAAAAATTAAATTTATATTTAGATAGCATTCTTATAAAAATTCAATGATCATGAAAAATTTTAATAAGGTATATAGATGGAGTTTTGTTCATCTTTTTATTGTGAACGCATAGAAAAAAATCATTTTAATTAAACTTAAAATGAAAAAATTATGACATTTTAAAATGAATAAGAGAAAAAAAAATATTATTATTAATTTTTTAAAATTATGACTAACTTGAATAAAGATGAATCAAAGGATGAGGTTGAACTCAAAAAATCCTGCATAACTCAAGTTTTACTTAAGTCGTCACTTGAGTATGTGCTTGACGAACACTAAACTTAGGGTTCGTTTGGTTGGAGGATTCAAACCATGTGATTCGAACCATTTTTGATTTATGTGTATTTTTTATGAGAGAAAATACTGTAGCAAACTACGAATTATGATTCGAATCAGGGAACGAATCCCTCTACCAAACGCCCCCTTAGGCTCACTTCCCAACTCGAGTTTAAGACCCAAATAAACACACCCTAAGACATCAAAACGACATTACAATAGCAAAGAAGAAAACGACAAAGTTTAAACTACTTTTAAGTCAAGAGAACATAAAATTAAAAAAACTCCTACACTCCTAACGAGCAAACATTTTCTTTGTTTCATTTATTTATCTATTTTTGGATATTATATGATTTGCCGTATTTATTTTAAGTGAATTTTTAATTTTTTATAGCAGGATACGTTTTTTTCCCCTAGTCCATTTGATTTTACTCAACATGAGAAGGAAGAAAAATAGAGAAACTCGATTGTTCCAGTTCATATTTAATCACCAACGGTCCCTGCAAGAGCGGTCTCTTATTAGTGAAATTGCTAGAAGCGTATTCGGTCTCTTATCATTTATGTCTCTTTGATATATCTTCGAATTTTTGCCAATTTTGTAGCCCAACACCAAATTTATTAACAAATTTGATGCAAACTGAAAACAAACAATTTGTAATGAAAAAATGAACGTATCTCATATGAGCCCTTACTTTTAACCGAATTCACTAAAATAATCTTAGAACAAAAGGAAAAATAAATAAATTTTTTAAAAAAATAACCCCAGAAAAATACTGAACTACCGTGGGGCGCGCACATTCTAGACTCCTCTGTAGCGAGTGTTGCTGAAAGCCCACTTCCATACCGAGATTGTTAGCCGTAGGGGTGTAAATCGGCCGGGTAGGGTAGGGTTGAGCCGAAAAATTGAGCCTACCTGACTAGTGCGGGTTGAGAAAATTTTAGGCCGTGACACTCTCTTAAGTCTACAAATCGGAAACCTTTCGGGTGACCTCGGGTTACTCGGGTTGGTGAAAACCAATTTTAATCTATGACTTCATCAATTTTAATCAATTTTTAGTCAATTAATATGTGCTTATTACAGAAGAAATCATTATCAAACAGAACATGTCTTTCCTTCAAGAGGGGGTCTAAATGCAAGGTGATCAATTAAAACACTCACTTTGAAATCAAACACTTCTAATATAAATAAAGAATGTCCTAATTCAACAACTATGTCATACACGTATTTTTTACACAAACCGTGAATCCAAAACATAAATAAGTTAACAGTTTAAAAGCATAAAGTCTATAAACTTATGAAAGTAAGAATTTGAAGTGTTGGACATTGTTTTACCTACTTTGAACATGTTCGGCCGGGTAGGGTTACCTCGGGTTCATGTAACCCCACCCCGCGCCCCTACCCGCGCAGTGCGGGTTATGCATAATTAAAACCGAAAATTAAATAAAAAATTGAAAACCCGTGATTTTTGAGTAGGGTTGGCTCGGCTCGGCCAGGTTCGTCGGGTTCGGGGTGATTTCTTACGGCCCTAGTTAGCCGATATCCTTTTGCTGTCCCAAAATTTATTTAATTTTACTTGCTAAATTATTCTATTTCTTAAATACTAAAGGTCTGTTTAGTTCGCTGATTCGAGTTTTTAATTCGAGTTGAGATGTGACTTTGTGTGAGACCTTTTATTATAACAAAAAAGTTAGATGTGACTGCTTCTGAGAGCTTTTTACTGTAGTAAAACTCAAATTTTAAACTCGAATTGGTGAAATAAACGGGATCTAAATTTTATAGTGTTGCTAAATTATTTTATAGTTTATTCAAACTGAATCGTTCTAAGCTTTATAGGTCCAAAGAGTTTGTCCATAAGATTTGGCAAGAAATTGAAGGCTCCTGAGCTTCCCTATCATTCTCGTGGTTGTTCTCTTGAATAAGACATGTTATCATGTGATCAGAAGGATACTAGAAATTAGAAAATACAGAGTAGAACCAATAATTAGAGATTAAGCGTGAAAAAAAAAAAAATCAGCTCCGAAAGAGAAAAGCCTAAACGACAGAAAGTAGTTGGTTTGGAATTAGAGAGATAATTTGGCTGTACCAAACACAGATGGCGATTTTAAAAGCCACCAACTGAAAATGACCGGCTCCATGGTCCGTTTATTCATGAGTTTAAATTATAATTCAGTATTCTGACCATTTAAATTTAAATTTTTTATTAGAAAAAATATTGTAATAAAATCAATTATCATAGTTTGAACTATAAAAAACCTTTAAAACAAACATATTTAGGAAACTTTTGCATCATCTTATTTATTATTAGAATTTCGAGATAAAGCTCTGTTTGTTTCTGTTTCTGTTTTCGTTTTTCACATTTTTCAAGGATAAAAAATGAAAACCCATGCCGAAAATGCGTTTGGTGCAAAATTTTCTAAGAACTAAAAATAAAAACGTTTTTGTCCTTTTGTGAAAATCTGAAAACGCAAAATTCATGTTTTCATTTCCTTCTCCGTTTTCCTTTTCTCTCTTCAGCCGAGACCAGAGACCCGTTTTCATTTTTTTACTGCCCTTCTTCAGCCCAGATTCCAGAGTTGTTGACCTGCGCCATTTGCTTCGCCGAGCTCCTTCGTTCTCTTCTCACTTGATTCGTTTTCTTCGTTTTCATTTTCTCTCTTTTCTGAAATTTTTTTTGCCCTTGACCACCAAAAATTATTTTTTCTTAAGCAAGCACAAGAGAAGCAGCAAAGCTCAAACCTTGAAAACGGAATTTACAGACTTCTAACAATAATTGGAGAAAAATGAAAGTGAAACTCGATACCGCAGTGAAAACTGAGGATTTCAACGTTGAATTTCAGATGGAGAGAAATAGAATCACCTGTTTGAGGAGATTGTCGGCGATCCAATAGTAGTAGCGGAGAGGAATCTGATTGTCGACCTCGACTTTGCGAGCTATGGAGTTGACGTTGATCTTCATCGTCTTCCTCCGGCGGTGAATGCCAGGACTCCGTCGCTCCGGTTAGATTTCCCGGCGATTCTCTCTCTATAAATATATGTGTGTGTGTGTGTGCGTTTCTCACTTTCTCACTTTCTCTCTCTATATCTAAATCTCCGATCCCGAAACTTGTGAGGAAAGTTAAACGCGTCGTTTAGGTAGGCAAGGATGGATAGGAAGGAATTGAGAGGAAGATTGCTTTGTTCATGTCGACATGGTGGTGATCTTGCAGGACAGTTTCGGTACGATGAGGTGGCGACCACGGAATTTTCAATGGGTAGAAGAAGGGGGTTCCAAAGAAAATGGATATTTCACGCATTCGCCCATTAAACTTGTATAATTTTAGTAATTTGCTCTCATAATTTTTAATTTTAGTAGGTTTTTCTCTCAACTTATAAAACTATTATAATATGCACCATTTTAATGATAGTTAAGTTAAATTAGTGTCAAAAAAATATGTTTGACAAAAAATTCTAACATTTCAATTCAAATATTTTTCAGGCTTGTTTGGTTGCATTTTTTAGTTATGGTGACTTGAGTTGAATTTGAGTTATAATTTGAGTTGAAACTGTAACATGAGTTTTTAAAAATTAAACCACCAAACGCAGTTTCAGTTTTTTTTTAAACTGAAATCAATCTCTGAATAAAACTACCAAACGCAATTTCAGAAATAATTCTAAAATGAAAATGAAAACGTTTTCTTTTTCTTTTTCATACAAAAAACAAAATTATTTTGGAACCAATTCCAAATGCACCCGAAAGTTTCAACATATTTATATATTCTGTTATAATCTAGATTCATATCACGATTTATAGAAGGACATCTAGTTGACGTGC